ATAGTCCTAGATCAAACCCGAATCAAAACAACTTCAATTCAAACCCGAATTAAAATAACTTTAATTCAAATCTGAATCAAAACAACTTCAATTCAAATCCGAACCTCTCTCGTTTCGGAAACAGACCTCGCCCGTTTCTCCCTCAAAACAAAGGTAATCCTAATTATACTTCTGTTACTAGAACTAGTCTATCTAGTTCCTTCAATAAAATACCCTCCAGCTCTTGTTTTAACTGTGGTAAGCTAGGTCACTGGGCAAGCAAATATCGTTTGCTGCCGAAAGCCCTAGGAGCTAGGATCCAGGAAACCTGCTCAAGGCCCTGGTACCATCGTAACGATACTCGGTTGAGAAGCTTATAAAAAGCACCAGAGTCGAACTAACTCCTACGAGTTCTGACTCCTAGCCTTAAGTAGGAACAGTCGCCCGTCTCTATGTTCCGATTTGCGTCCGAAACAATATCGAAACGCATACGGATATCGATACCTGCGCAGAGGTAGATCTTGTCAGCTATAAATTTGTCCAGAAATATTACTTTGATCAAGCGAAGTATAATGCTCCCCTTTTAGAAGTAGTAGGCCAACAAGACGCCCCTACCTACGGCGTATGGACTATTCTAATTATCATATATAACTCTCGAGGAACTAAACGAAAGTTCTTACATCCTTATGTTGCGGTCGACAGAGATCCCTGTCTATCTGGGTCCCCTGTACTGTTATCAAACACGACTATTCAGGAAATACGAATCGTGTTAGTCCTATAGCGAAAACAGTGGTAGTTCGAACACAAGAAGGAGACAATAGAGTAGTTAGAACCTCACCAGTTTGCAAAAGCATACAGAAACTAAGCTCACGTATTCGCGGTTGTCAAAATACCTAAAGAAGTCTGGCTTCCTCTAGAAGAAGAAGAGGAATTAACTGCGAATTAGGATCAAATTCTCTCCGAGTTATCAGCGTTTCAGGATATATTCAAGGCGCAAAACTCCAAGATTATGCCGCCGCGGAAAGAAACTGATTATTCGATTAACCTCAAAGAAGACGCATCGCCCCCGTACGGCCCGATCTACCCCCTCTCGTAAGCAGAACTCACAGAGTTACGGAAGTATCTTGACGAAAATCTAGAGAACGGTTGAATCTGACCCTCTAAGAGCCCTGCAGGTGCACCTATTCTATTCGTGCCTAAGAAGGATAGAGGACTACGCCTCTGCGTTGATTATTGAGGGTTAAACAAAGTTTCTGTCAAAAACCGGTACCCCCTACCCCTTATCTTAGAGATTCTTGACTGCCTTTCTAGGGCCAGATTCCTCAGTAAAATAGACGTACAGGATGCGTACTATCGGATTTGTATTCGAGAAGGAGAAGAATGGAAGACAGCTTTCCGTACAAGATATGGCTATTTTGAATATATAGTTATGTCCTTTAGCCTTACTAACGTACCTGCGACGTTTTAAAGTTATATCTATACTGCGCTCTATAGCCTCCTTGACACTATTTGCATTATATACCTCAATAATATTCTTATCTTCTTAAAGACACGCAAAGAGCATACGAAATACCTGAGTCTTGTACTCGAAAGGCTGCGGAAGGTATAACTATTCGTTAAAGCATCAAAATATAGCTTCTATAAGCTATAAGTTAAATTCCTCGGCTTTATTGTCGGTTAAAATAGCATCTTAATAGACCCGGAACGAGTTTGAGCTATTTAAGAATAGGAACAGCTAACGTCCTACAGGGATATTTAGGTCTTTCTTGGATTCTGTAACTTCTATCGAAGATTTATCGAAAAATACTCGTTAATTGCGTTACTGCTTACAGAACTCTTTAAAGGGAGTAAAGACAGGAAAAAACTAGAAAGCGTCGAACTAAACGACAGAGAATTAAAGGCGTTTTGAGATCTCCTCTATGCCTTCTCGACTGCGCCCCTTCTTTGTTACTTTGATCCAGAAAGGTCTATTCGACTCGAAACTGACGCGTTAGGTTTCGGGATGGCCGGAATCCTCTTGTAACCGGACAACCAGGGAATATAGCACCCTATTACGTTCTGGTCTAAGAAGTTCTTGTCTACAGAACGAAATTATGCAACGCCGGACTAAGAGCTATTTGTAATTATTTATTCCTTTAAACACTGGCGTTAATACCTTAAAGGAAGCCGGTACTAAGTCGAAGTTCTGACTGATTATTATAATCTAAGGCTCTTTATAAACTAACTAAAGATTAATAGGAGATAGGTACGTTAGTATCTCTTCCTTACCCCTTTTGATTTTATGATATATCACTGCTCGGGCAAGATAAATCCCGCAGATGGATTGTCTCGTACCCCAGGAGAAAAGAAAGCTCTGCCTGCAGAAGAGATATTAGGGCCGATTCGTAAGAGAATTACGGCCGAATTATTTGTAAAAGTACAGTGGTTTACTATTGGTACGAGACCGTCTGGAGAGAAAAGCAGAGGGGGAGCAGGGATCAATAAGCGCAACTGCATTGGCCTGTAGAAGTCTATCGCTATCCCCCTCTCTAACCGTGAGTAGCTTATCTAGCGACCTAGAGTCAGAACCGAACTAGGTTCAGAACGACACTGCCGCCCCTATAGATCAGGAGGATCTAGGGGAGGCTACAGATAAGTCTAGCGAAGCTAATCATTTAGATCCGGGGATAATCAAGAAGTTTTCCTAAGTTAGGGCCACAATATAACGTATTACAAGGTTTTGAGTTACTCTTAATTCGTATCCCCTTGAATGGTATTTACTGCAGCTGCGAATGAAGATCTACTTACGGATAAATCCCTAAGGGAACTAAAAAGATTGATTAAGGAGCTCTAAGAAAATAATAAGATAGTTTAAGAAAGAACCAATATAATTATCGTAGGTAATTCGAAAGGAAAATACTAGAGTATCGACTCTGAGAAGCTATTATATTATAAGAATTATCTCTATATTCCTGTTAAAGGAAAATTAAGAAAGAAACTGATTAAACTTTACTATAATGAACAGCTTACAGGATATTTTGGAAGGACTCGTACAGAAGAGCTGTTAAAAAGGAAATTCTATTGGGAAAAGCTACTAAAAGACGTTTGAGAATATGTCAAAATATGCCCGATATGCTAGAGAGTCAAAGCTCTGAGGTATCGATCTTATAGCGAACTCTAATCTCTCCTAATTCCCTATCGGCCATTTGCAGAGCTAAGTATAGACTTTATAACAGGACTCCCGATCGTGATCTTTAAAGGAAGAGAATGCGACGCAATCCTAGTAATCGTCTGCCGACTTACGAAATTCTCTTAATTCCTCCCTGTATCGATAACGATATCTGCAGGAGACCTTGCCGAACTCTTCTTTAATCGAATCAAACTTAAATACAGAAACCCAGAGGGAATTATATCTGATTAAGGCCCTATCTTTACGAGCAGATTCTGGTCACGACTCTGTTACTATTTAAAGATTAAACTACGATTCTCTACAGTATTCTACCCTCAAACCGATAGTCAGACAGAAAGACTCAACTAAGTTCTAGAGGATTATCTTAGGTATTTCGTTGACAGAGAGTAATCAAATTAGGCTTAACTTCTCAAGATGGCGTAGTTCGTATGTAACAATGCTGTAAACACATTAACCAATAAGACCCCTTTCCGTATGCTGCTAGGATATAATTCTGACTTCTAAGTCTGAGCTCTAGAGGAAGTACTCAAGAAAGAAGCCCTAAGTACTAAAGAACGGGTGATTTACCTTCAAAATATTCGTAAAGAGGCCTCAAGAAAGCTTCGAATCGTACAAGGAACACAACAGAAGTCGTACAACAAAAATCACAAACCGAAAGACTTTGAGGTCGGAACTCTCGTATCCCTTTCGACAAGGAATATCTACTTCAAAGCCAAAGAGAAGAAGTTATCTCCCCGACGAATTAGACCCTTCTGTATCCTTACAAAGATTGGCGCACAGGCGTATCGCATTGCATTACCAGAGAAGTACTTAAGATTATACAACGTTTTCTCTGTCTCCCTCCTCGAGCTATAGAACAGCCGAAACAAAGACAATTTGCAGATGCTAATACCTGAACTTAAAGACGAAGAGGAATAGGAGGTTGAAGAGATTTAAGATAAAAGAACCTTTAATAGAACCTTACACTATTACGTTAAATAGACCGGCTAGCCATCAGAATATAACTAATAGGAACCTGTAGATTACTTAAAGAACGTATAAGGTATGATAAATTCATTCAGAAGAAAGAAAACAAAGAAAACTGTATTATAAAGACAACGAAACCCCTAGGATACTACTAGGAAACACTACCGATTCGACAACGATCACCTCACACATTACGCCAGTTACGAAAAGAAAGACAACAAAGGAAAGGCCTATAGGCCTAAGATCGATACCGAACGAGGCCGTTCGAACCTCGGAAGAGGGAGAGATAAACCTAGAAGCTCACTAAGGCAAACCATACATATCCGCCAGAGCTCGAATATTAGCAGCAGTTTAGACTACAGCCGGAGTCAAAGCAGCTCCTCCACCTAGAGCGATATCTTACAGATAACCAGCCACAACCCCCCAGAAGAAAGATCGAATACTGCTCTGCCAGAGGCTAAAACCCGTATCGCTGATCTGCAAGCACAGAAGATTATCAGGATAGCGAGAGGGCAGAGCAGAAGGCAAACCGGCTTTAGCATTCAACTCCTTCCGTCGCCTATCCACAAACTTAACATAACTCAACAAGGCCTGGTCTGTGTTTTTAGTATCAAAATAGAGCTTGTGCTCAGAGAGATAAACAGAGATCATCTTACGGTAGGAGACCAGAAGGTAATATAATCCTAATACGGCTGCAGCCGTACTTGCAACACCCTAGGCAGGAACAGCAGCCCCAGGAACAGAAGTAGCAGTACCGCCAGCTTTGACCTCACGCACCCAGTCAAAGATAAGTCGGAGCTGGTACGAATTACTATAGATTCTACAGGGTACCTAAGCAGAGTTAGTATCGAATCGAATTCGAATCGAATCAGAAGAGGCACTATACCTAGAAGCAGGACTTACCGTTACCCTTGCACAGAGCACAGGAAACAGAATTAGTACAATCCCAGTTGCACTGAATTTCAGGAATCTTATCCACAGGAGGACGAAGAGCTACCTCCGCCACACACTTCACACAAGCAGCAAAGAAAGGACGTACGAAGTAAGCACAAAGAGGACGCAAGTTATCACCGGACCTATCATCTCCTGGCGGTCCATCATCACTATTACCTCCATCTCCTCCATCGCCCCTATCGCCTCCATCTCCTCCAGCAGAAACAGGAGCAGGAGCAGCACAACCCTTACCTTTCGTACGATCTCCACCTCGACGAGCAGTACCCCTAGTGCCTCTAGAAGGACCTACAACCGTGATCGGAGCGCCGGCGGTACTAGCGGCAGCAGTAGTAGCCGACATAACGAAAGGATAACGAATCGAGGACGAGAAGGAACAGATTAAGATTAAAGAAAATAAAGATAAGAGAAAAGTAAGGATTGAGAGAGTGCAGGAGGAAGCTTTTATCATAGAGGCAACAAAGAGAGTATATTGCTTTGTTTATATCTACGTACAAACGCACCGAATTAGGGTATGCCTGAGAGCCTTTGATCGAGGTGACGCTATCAAGTTTGGTCCGTTTGATCTAATTCTTACCTTTGTTGATACCCGGGTCGGTTATCACTCAGAGGGGAGGATGAATTATCACGGGATTCCGAGTATACAACACCTCAGACACTCGACGCCGATCCGAAGCTAAATCCCCTTTGAGTCACCTGCATATCGAGGCCCACCCGAACCCTAATGTATTTAAGATCCCACAAGTATTTAGGATTCTTGATCTCTTCAAGAATCAGTCTGTATATCAACTGTCCAATCTGATCTCTACTATCCGATATCCTTGCCTAGTCACAGGTCTCTAGCCTGACAACTTAGTAACCATTACATAATAAGTATCGGAACTATACTATAGCTAAGGCTAATAGAAGCTTGGAGGCCTCCCGGGGGATTATAGGATCTATATAGGGGATCTCTCTATTAGGTATGCACAGAGTATACTAAGCGGTGGTTATCCTCTAATTACTATACAGCCTGTTAGTATAGTACTGCCCTGCTATAGGGATAATACCGGTAAAGCCTAGGAACTGGGTAATTAAGACCCTAGAACGTATCTAGAAGCGGGCTATAGTGATTATTAGCGGGGCCTTTCGTAGGGTAAGCCGTAAGGTGCTTAATGTAGAACTTTTCCTATAACCTATCTATCTACAGATATAGTAATTAATTAAGAAAACAGCTATTCGAATCCTTACAGGGCCAGCCTAGGCTCGCCTAGCTATACTTCTATAACAACGAATACTAAAAAAGCAACGAAAGCTAGGGGGCTAGTGCCCCCTAGAAGCCCTCTGCTAGAAGAAAAACCAGGTTTTAAATACCCTTACTCTGTCCTCAGGGGTATAGGAGAGCTGAAAAGCCTATATCTTAGTACTATAGGAGCTATAGATTCTTTGTATTATTAAAGATACAGAGGTAGCTAAGGCCTTATATAACAGAATTCAGAATAAAATACTTAATTAGTAAATTAAAAAGATAATAGAACTATACTTACAGCTTCGGCTAATTAAGGATTAATGCCTAATAATCCCCTTTTTTACAGATAGGAATGGGTATCAAGGTTTAGTAGGTACGGCAGCAGCTACTCTAGAAGCAGGTATCTACCTATAAATCTATCTTAGAATAATAGAGGATTCGACGGTCTATATAGCCAAACTTAATATTATTAAGATAGCGTTTGCTTACTTCCTTTAATAGAAGAGCTAAAGTACAGAGTTAAGGTAGAGTTCTCGCCAGTTAGGATAAAGTTCTTGCTAGTTAGGACAAAGTATTTGCCAGAGTATAGGTTTAGAGCTAAGTTAAGCCTAGGGACTGTATCCGATTAAGATAGTTATCTTCTCTGATAGCCAGACAGCTATCTAGGCTATTTTAAATCTAAATTAATCCTCCGGCTAATATATAATAGACCTAATATATCAATATATATAAGCCCTCTAATCGCTTATACCTACGTCCAGCTTAATTCCCGCTGAGGTCCGATAGATCCCTATATACGTAGGTATATCTAGCAACAAAACTGCAGACGTTGAGGCTAAGTTTGTAGCAGAGAACCTAGGTAGGGCGGATTATCGTAGTGCTAAGATCTGATTAGCCTTATTAGTACAATACTAGGTACGGCAGCGAATAAACGGGAGATAGATAAAGAAGTAGGCAGTAAGTAAGATAGTAGTTCGCTATCACTAACTAGTAGAAATACTATATAAGAAGGTTCTGTAGCTATACAAAGGGCTACCGAAGCTATATACCTTAATTATTATTCAGATACAGACGAAGCACATTAGCTTAAACTACTTCCTATTTAAGTATATTAATTAACGTAGATAGAAAGATCAGTTTAACGCCGGTCGGTATTATTACAAGGAGGGAAGCCAGATACCCTAGTATATCCTTCTCTAATATCCGTTATATACTAGCCTCTGTATAACGCTGATACAGAAGCTCCGGTACAAAATAGAGCTAGGGAATACAACCGATTATAATATAATTATATCGGACTTACAGGCTATCTGCTACATAGCTAAATTCATACACCAAACAGGACTCCTCTATTAATTCTGTTATATAGATAGGGAGGAAGTCAAAGCCAATATAGAAGCGCTGGAAGAGACCACCGGCGGACACTAGGAGGCGAAGACACTAGGTACACAGATTAGACGATGGTCAACGGCTACGAAAGATCGGCAATCGAGGAATTATATTAAATAAAGGAACAGCAACGGAAGGAACCAGGACGTAACTGAGGTTGCGACTAATAGGGCAGGGATAGGGAGAACGAACCTGCAGAAGTAGTAGTGGCCGCAGGGGGCGCTGTAGGCTGGCAGTAGCCGATTACATTCATTGTAGGAGTTTCGTTAAAGTTTAGTGGGAGTTATTACTTGTTTTTCTATGGCAATACGCTGTATCTCCTTTGTCTTTTGTTACTATGGCGTGGCGTTAGGGTGGTTCTGGTTCCCGATGGAGGGAACGCCTACATAGCTATTACGTTCGAATGTGTGGCTGAATTAGGTTATAGAATCTTGAATTGAATTGAATTGAATTGAATCTCCGTAATTCCAGAGATTTTGAGACAAAATCACTTAAATTTCTCCAAGAAAAAGACAGCCTATTACTTTTACCGATTTCATCCTCTGAGCAAATTTTTAGATAGAAAGAATTCGTTGTTGTTAAGATAATTCATTTTTTATTTAGTATGGTATCCCTATATTTTTGGCACTGCCCGACCCACATAGCTGTCCGAGTCGCTAGTGAAAGACGTTAGTTGCTGTATACTGTATATCGCTTCGGTGAGGGGATAGTGTAAATAATATCTACTGCTGTTACTCTCTAATTAAATTATCAATCAAAATGGCTATTTAACATTTTAATAAGAGTAAAAATATTTTGGGCATGAACAAAGACCTCGAATCAGTACAGATGTTTTCAATGACCACATTTATAACTAACTGTCCGACTTGATGTACCCCAAAACAAGACCTCGCAGAAGAAGTATGTAGTTGTCCAGAGATCAATTCTTTTCATGAATAGAGATTTTCAGTAAATTTGGCGTTTAGGATACCTTTGAGCAAGGCCTATCGGGTTCGAAAAGAGGAAGTCAATATTATTCGTCGACATCGCGAGGGTGGGATTCCTGGTACTTTGCAATCTCCCGGTCGGTGATGCCTGGTACAGCATCGTACCTGGTTAGAGGAACCAGTGGAATGTCGTGCTCTTTGAACTGCGCCAACTTTTGTTGGGTGAGCTTGTGGGTTTTGTTGACGCTGTAGATCTTGATGCGGTGTGCTGAGGATGTGACATGTAGGCCCCAGTTCCAGGCTGCTCGCACATTAAGTGGTTGGGTATTCAAAGAATTATCCCAACATCGGCACACGATCTCGATCCAACCTTCTACATCACAAGGGAGATCGATTTCCCATGACCTCCAAGTCCATTTTCCCTTCTTCGATAGATTCTCCTCTGGGACAGCGTACCAATTGAAACCCCCATCGGCTGATAATTCCACACGCTCAGGCCACCTGCCACCACCAGAGTAAGCCCAGCCCTTGCAACGGATCTTACCACTGTGCATAATCACTTGATTTTGCCATGGAGACATAATAGCAGAGCTTACAGGCATCTCCTGGATCTGGATTCCATCCATGGGGCGTTGGTTATACTTCCCCATCTGTTGGTTGAAGTACAGATACTCCCTGCTTTGAACAGGTGCCAGGGATGGACTCTTAATGGCCTTGATTCGATACAGCCATTTCACACTGCGAGCTCCAATATACCCCATCACGATCACTCGTAATGGAAATCCATGGATCTTAGGAAGTGGTTCACCATTCATTTCCCAAGCAAGAATGACCTCATTGCTCTTGACTTTGGACCATGGGACACTCACAACGTAGTTTCCAACACTAAGGTCTTTCACATATGTGTCAACACCATAGAATTCAAGGTGCTTGGCGTTGCTGATCAGCCCTCCACAATCTTTGATCAGCTTTTTGAGGCTTATGCCTTTGTATCTCGCAGTGCCTATGGCACCCTCGGCCCACGGTGCCTGGGGAACTTCGTCGCCTTGACCAGCGTACAAAGATATCTGCTCGATCCGACGAGTCCCTGAGCATTGCATAGTAATTGTCTTCTCCATCTGTGGAAAAATTGACTCGTCCATCAAATCTTTCATAGTATATGTTTTGGGAGACTTGACAAGACCATCGAGTTGTAACTCGAACTTTTTCTCCTCAATAAGCGGGATACCACCGTGGTTACGCACAAAGTGGAGTGAATTTGGAGTAATAGCTTTGTCTGTAACCAATCGTTTGGGTGGCTCTCCATTGTACGGGAATTGCAGCAGATGCAGCATTTCAGGATGTTTCTCTTTCAAAACCGTCTTCCAGGAATCATCAGGGACTCTAGTTAGCTCTCCCCCTAGTGCGGTATGCCATGACTTGAAATCATCGCCGGGTAACACAGGGTTGGTAGGAGGTATAGGTCCCCATTGAAAATCGGGACAAGGGGCAAAAGTTTGCGATGTCAAAACTTCGTGTGCTTTGGCTTTCTTTTCGGGATGAATCTCCCACTCAACGTAGCTGGACAGTCCCGTCATTGATTAGTCGAGTTACATTGAATCATACATTGTCATCTCATGGAAGACTGTACCCTGTCCAGCCCGGCTTTTCACGGGCAAAAAGTTTACTTCGGTCACCAATAGCGCGAATGGCCTTTTCATTTTTTGTGACCTGTTGTTCCGCGGGTGGAGCAATGAAGGAAACTGATTTTCCACTTTGATCAATGATGGGAAGTTTGTAGGCAGCAAGGCCTTGCTCAACCTTCCACTCATCAGGACGGTTATTGATCGGTTTTGTATACTTGGTTCGGGTTTCCATAGTGGAACGATGTGGGGTGGACATGTGGAATCAAAAATAAATGGGCACTTCTTGACAGATGATTTCCAGTCGAGTGGTCTGAGCCAGAATTTATACCTGGCAGACTATAGGTCTTACAGACCGACATTTCACCCCTTTCTTGTGATTTATGCTTGGGTCGAGTCTAAACTGTTTCTGGTGATTGCCATACATGGGCCTCATTCAATCCTTGCCTTGAGCGTCAAAATCAAGGTTTGTGTACAGCGTCATGCGGCGGATAATGTGTTTTATGTCACAGGAGCGAAAAATACTTTGAATAAATGACTGGTGAATGGACGATAAATTACTCTCTTCTTTCAATGCCGACTCGATTCGGGTTAGCAGCATGGAAAGGTTTATAGAAGACGCCGATCGGGCAATTGACATCATGACTTCTGAAGCGTACCCGGTAACCTTACGACAGATACAACACGCCGCCAATCGCATTAATGACCATATAATGATAGGCCTTCTTGCAACTTGTTTTAATTGGTATTAGTAGTTATTTCGTGATAGCCAATTGTTTGGGATGCGGTCCACATCGTAACACTACCAAGGTTGCAAGGCTTTCAGTTAGACGGTCGCGTAAATACCGCCCTCTTTTTACCAATCTGTCTTTGATCTATTTAGAATACAATAGAAGGTCTATATTCTGTTTATTATTTTTGCAATCGTTGAATTCCCTTTGTGATTGGCGTGCATAGCATCTGGTGGAGCATCTAGTTGAGCATCCACCCGAATAGTCATAGAGCGTGTGTCTGCTCACACAAGACGCCTCATATATTGCATCATTGGAGAATACCGACATTAATCACATTCTCGTCACGAAAGCAGAAAAGCATGAAGAAATTTTTGGCAGAAGTCATCTCATGAGTAGAGTGGGTAAACATGTCGGACTAGTGTAGCGTGAATTGACACATTCCTTAAGCTAGTTATTGTAATGAAGACTGTTCGCCTTGTCTGGACCCCTCGATTTAGACTAAAGTACAGGAAGTAGTCAACGATGAGCAAAGTGTGGAGGGACCTATGCGTACATACCCCTTACCGAATCGTCTGCATCTGCGTTATTGGGCATGACCGCTCAATCCCTAACTGATTTTCTGTAGTCATGGCTCAGCACAACACCCATTCCTGTCTCTTCAGTTCTGATTTGGCACTTTGGAACACTTTTCGTGGTTCGACGCTAAGCAATGCATGTCTCAGCCACTGAATGGTAGTATGGCCGAGGTCAGACTAAGCGTAATCTAAACAACCAATTACCTTTCCTGTATTATGAAAGCCTAGATTGACGAAGTCTGGTTGTTTTGGGCCCTGAGGGCTCTCGTATTTCAGGCCTCCCTACTTTCATGAAGAGCTAATTCCCTTGCTTGGAGGATCGCCCCATTTTTACTCACCTTCTCGCCCATGCATACCTGCGATCAAAAATCCATTATTGACAGTCGCAATTCCATCCGTCATATAACCCAATATATCTTATTCTTTAGCGCTTCATTTAGTCCAGATGGTGTCAAATTGCCATCTAAATGGTTCCAATTTTCCGAGACTAGTATCGAATTAGGGATGCAGATCGTAAGTTCCTCATGAATTGTCCCCAGCTTTCTCTGTAGCATATCGTCGTGCTGAAGTCATATAATGTGGGATATGACGACTGCTCTCTAGAATATCCCTTGCACTCCCAAAATGTATAAATATATTTCGAGGCCAGGGCCACAGCACATCATAGAATAATCTGTCTTCAGGTTTCATTCAATTATAATGCTCCAAAGCTACGAATTACCACTGATTCGGACTTCCATTGCTCATCCAACTACATTGTTAACCAAGGACATCAATGGTCACAGACACCTAGCAGCCCACCGAGCACAAGGAGGGTGTCTTCGAGTGGACTTTTTATTCCCACCATACGCGTGGGTACGAGCGCCAGGATCCCATAGATAGGCTGCAGGGCGGCGAGGGTGGCATAAATCTCGGTCTGAAGAAGGATGAGGCCGGCTTCAAGCAATAGCTCAAGCGCTACAGGGGCTTGATGTGATTTTTCTCTACAGTAACTGGGGCGGTGGCTTTTTCTTCTTTTTTTTTGCTTCTCTTTTTTGTTTTCTATCTTTTTGACGATGATATGCGTCTACTGATAAAAGGTAAACAGGGGACTACTTGGGACTTATATTGTCATCTATCAATAACTAATTCTTGTTGCTGCGTCCCAGGAATCTCAAAGGATTGAGATGACACGTTTCGAAGTCCTCGCGTGCTTTCAAAGTCAGTGTTGGAATTAGCGTTTAGACCGCGTCCAGTTAAGGTCATTATCCTGTGGCCTCGGCAGGACGGCGAGGTATAGAATGACCACACGACTTCGGATGAACTATTATCGTATGCAATTGTGAACTATCTCGAGAATTGAAATTTCTTGCACCCACGAGAGGCACTCGAGGAGATTCCTTCTGTTGAAATATCCGATGGAGTCATCGTCGAAGACCAATAAATCAAAGTGAACGCATCACGCTACAGCTTTGAAATTCTGTCGGGTGGCCATGGAGGATGCGCACCGGTATAGGCGGTGTGTTGTGCCAATTATCCTGTAAGCCACTCAGGTAACTTGATTCGATCCTTTCTCTCAAGAAAAAAAAATTTGACGCCACCTAGAGGTCTGATGAAAGGGATATCTGCATCATGCGTTGGCGCTGTGCTCAGACCTCGCCCGAGGCCAACCGAAATAATTGCCGCTTCGCCTAGTAAGTTCTTTTTCCTAGGACATGATGGTGTGCATCATGGCCCAGCAAAATTCAAAAGCTGGCAGCGTGTCTCCGTCTATTCTCTTCGAATGTTCGCATTCAACGCCCTTTCCGAGTCGTGGAGGGAGGGCGACGATGCTTACAGACATCAAGTGGAGCACCTCCCGTGCGTCCTGTTCATAAAGACAATCTAGCAGTCACATGATCTGACCAAGTTCTGCATCACAGCCCCCGCGATCGTCTAATGGATGGACGGCCAAGCCGTTATCAGACTTTCTCACAGATCGATTTCATCGCCAGCATGATTACCTCCGGATCAGCGTCACAGAAAGGTGCAACCTGCGATGTTTGTACTGTATGCCCGAGGAAAGTATCGAACTGTCACCACCGCCCCAGCTGTTAAGCACGCCAGAAATACTGTACCCTTTCATCACTCTTTGTCTCTCAGGGCGTCAAAAAGATCCGCCTGATTGGTGGGGGGAGCCAACAGTCCGGAGGGGCATTGTACCGTTGATGCAAGGAATTAGCCAGCTCCGGCAAGACAGGCTCCGCGAACTTTGTTTAACCACAAATGTTGTCTTACTATACCGGAAGCTAGACTAGATGGTAGAAGCAGGCCTGACGGGTATAAATCTGAGCTTGGATACCCTAGATTCATTCCGCTTCCAGATCATAACCCACCAGAGCGGGCTCGAGGCTGTGATGAAGAGTATCGATCGCATACTAGAAATGAACCGAGCCAGCGCTAGAATCAAGCTCAAGGTAAACTGCGTCATAATGCGCGGATTGAACGATCATAAGATCATCCCCTTTGTCAAGATGGGTCGTGAGCTGCCCCTCGAGGTCCGCTTTAACAAATACATACCATTTGTTCGGAATAAGTTGAACAGGGTGAAGATGTTCTCGTACCAAGAGATGCTAGCAGTTATTAGACGAGAATATCCGGGATTAATAAAGATCGCTGATCATAAAAATGATACTAGCAAGACATACAAAGTCCCAGAATTTGAAGGCCGCATAGGCTTTATTACGAGCATGATGCACAATTTCTGCGGCACCTACAATCGACTCTGCATCACCGGTGACGGCAACTTAAAAGGTTTGTCTTTTCGGCACCGCGGAGATATCGCTACGGGATATCATCCGCAAGGAGAATTACGGGCTACCCATCGATAGCGAGGCCTTGAAAAACCTTAGCATTCGAGAGAGTATGAAAACCTCGTCTCGCCTTAATGGCAATAGGGAGCCCATCCGTGCAAGAGAGGGCGAGATTTTAAATATCATCGGTATAGCCGTGAAGCGCAAAAAAGCGAAACACGCCTGCATGGATGAACTGAAGAATATGAAGAACCGCCCCATTATTCTTATTGGTGGGTAGACATGGAATTTCGTGTTATGAGAGAAAAGATTTACGTCCTCTCTATTTTTCATCAATCTGCGTAGAAAATACCAAGTTCAATTCGCGAGATCATGTGTTCTAGACTTGATCAAACCCTGTTTCAAACGCATGGAGTGGTGGTGTTCTACGATACCTGCGCTGATTGCATAGTACAATGCTTGTAAAGATATTCTATCAGAGCTATTTTTCCTGTCTTCGGCCAGCCGGTCCCATATCAATGAGGATGGATGATCTATGGAGGCCAGAGATGCATCATTCCTTATTTCCAACCTTGAGCCACATGCCAGTTCATCACCCTTCCTGCAACATGAATAAGAAGTAAACCAAATGATTGTAAGGTGTCTATACCAAGCACTCACGTAGGACCTTTGAGCCAGTTACGGCAGAACTATTGAACAAATCACGTCTCGGGTAAGAAACAGTATGCCCCGACGCAAGACATCCAAGTTAAGAGGAGCAGATAGTGGCGGCACTGGCGGGAGATACCCAATTACCACTCGAAAAAAATGGCTTGTACGGATCAAATATACCTAAATACTACCTTACACCAGTGATTTTAACTTCGGGAGACCCGAGCGAGAGCGGGGTAAATTTCTCCGATCCCAGCATATTATTGGGTTGTGCATATTTCATCTTGTGTCGAGCAAAGGACTGGGTCCAGGGAAATTCCATTCTTGGATCGTGGATTGATTGAGAAACCCCATGTATCTAGCTTGCTTCAGAAATCCCTTTTTGTTTCTACCCACACTAAAATCTCTACCTCTTAAATGGATGGTGATACCATGTCTTTACGAACTATGTCATAAGCAAAACGTGATAGGATAGCCTCCTCGAATAGAAACAGAGTGTGTCGACCAGAACCTTGACGTCCAAAGCGAAGTCTCCGCCATCATCCGACTAGTGGTGAAATTGACTTTTCGCTGCATCAAACGGTGGGTGTTAGCATCCCCCGCACGAGGCCAGCGATTCATAAAGTTGGGACACCCTGGGTAGTAGCATGAAGTGTACTATACGCCTTGATCAGTAGCCAGCGAGGGCGAATGCTGTCTACCATGTCTCCGCTCATGACACTAACTATTGTGGCATTCCTGCTCCTTGCAGACCTGAACAACGCAGAACGGGTCCTGGGAGCGTACGTCTTCCAGCGCCATGGAGACCGGACCGCAAAAGCCTGGCCACCGACCAAGTTGACCGGTCTCAGGTACAGTCAGGAGTATATGACTGGGACCTTTTTTCACGACCGCTATATCTCGGCAAATTCCTCTTACCAGATTGATGGGATCAGTACCGACATCGTCAACTTGGCCCAGGTCACTGCGAGCGCGCCGCAAGATAATGTGATCGATAACTCCGGAGAGGGATTCCTACAAGGTCTTTACCCTCCCATCGGTTCAATTTCCATGGAGACACTGCGCAATGGATCGATAATCGAGGTTCCGTTGAATGGCTACCAGCTAATCCCGTTGTCAGACGTGCAATCTGGCAGCGGGAGTGAGGACAACACGTGGTTGCAGAGCACTTCCTCCTGTAGCAAGGCCCAAGTGAGCAGCAGTGACTATTCCAACTCGAAATCCTACGAAAGCCTGCTCTTAACCACGCGTGGGCTCTACCAGTCTCTCGAGCCGTTGGTGAATGAGACATTCAGTCCCAGTGAGCTGAGCTACAAGAATGCATATACTATATGGGATTTACTCCACGTGGCTCTGATACACAACTCCACCGCAAATTTCCCTTCATCAACCATTCTCACCGATTCGGTCATGCAAGAGCTGCTTGTTCTCGCGAATCAGCACGAGTTCAACCTAGCATACAATACTTCTGACCCCATCCGTGCTATTGCAGGTATGACACTGGCAGGCGAAGTTCTGACAGCTCTGAACGAAACAATTACATCTGGCGGTAAATCCAAGCTGAATATCCAGTTTGGTGCGTACGCCTCTTTCCTGTCATACTTCGGTCTGGCTGAGCTCTCAAATGTCAATGTCAATTTTACCGGCATTCCTGACTATGCTTCATCCATGGCGTGGGAGCTTGTGACAGATGACGAAGGGACCGAGATTCCCGCCACTTCAGACATTAGAGTGCGTTTTGTGTTCCACAATGGAACTGGCATCGAGGGCTCGACACAGCTGCAAGCTTATGCACTCTTTGGCCAATCGACGGTGGAGCTCCCGTGGGCGCAATTTGTGGACGGGACAAAGAAGATTGCCATTCAATCACAGGAGGAATGGTGCAAAGCGTGTGGAAATAGCACTGGAATCTGCGCCTCGAGCTCTGGTGCCGGTGATATTTCGCCGTCTAATTCCTCAGCTGGTTGTCCCTCGGGCGGAGGAATGAGCTTGGGAGTGGCGGGTGTCATTGGGGCACTGGTAGCTCTAGGTGTTCTTGTTGGGCTACTAATCTTGAGCATGATGGTCTTTGGCCTGCGATTTGGACCCAAGAGCGCGCTCGCTGGTATCCATCGAGGATCGGACGTTTCTACAGCTTCCGTGATGAAGACGACTGTGGTGTAGAAAGTTCCAATCGAAGGAAAAGGTCACATTTATGATGGACATTACTTTCGGGGCATTTATTTACGCGCAACGTCTTGTCTATTACCAGCCTCATTGTCAGATTCGCAGTTACAGTTCTCTTGAGGAAAATACGTATTTTGATACATGAATGTTTATCATTAATATCTGGCAATCACTCGAGACGAGCCTTTCGCCAGTAGGCTCTGTAATGCTTTGCCAAAATGAGAACATAAATCATTAGAATTTTTGAGCTGTTGGAGGTTAACGATACCCCGCTGTCATTGGGAAACGTCAAAGTCTAGCTTACTCGAATCACTTGAGTCTCTAACATGGGAACGGCTGCCTAGATCTGTTATTTCCCACACTTTGACGCTTTGGCCTCCTGCTATCAATGAAGTTTGAACATCCATAGTAGAGCACCATGCGCCACATGCACATATAGATCAAACGCGCCAGTATCAAGTCTCATTAGAAATCATAACGAGACGGTTACGAAGTGTCCTCTACAAATACCGAAATGTTGATCACTGGACAAATTATCCCAGCGTCATTAAGAGGATATGTAGTCTTCATGGGCAGAATCATATTCTCAGTTTTCAATTGCGGTGACCAATCCAAAATTAGCTCTCATCCGTCTCCATTTATCAATTACACATACTATACAACATGTCATGATGGCGGCTATATATAAAGGAGATTGAATTTGACTTTTTTGTCGGTGGTGCTACTACACTTCCTCACATTACATTCCGCTGTCCGAAAGTCATGCTTGATAATCTGAGTAGGGCGTTACACGGGTTAGAAAACAAAGTTTCACCAGTTGCTCAACATATTGACTTTTTTCCCGGGGCAAAATGGGGCAACGTTAGAAAGAAGTATTCCGTAGGAGTATTTGATACACTACGTTACAAAACCAATATGTATCTGGGCACCCAAGGACACCGTGCTGCTAGGAATTACTGGGACAAAATTGCATTGAACTGATGAAAATCGTTTTTCCTATTTGCCAAGAGTTCAATTTTGGTTAAATATACAATTAAACAATGATAAAGTTTTCGAGGAACTTCTCATTTTTTGATAAAAGCCTCAGTCGTGCGCTTGACTCTAGTTCCAAGGTCCAGGCTGACTCGACCAAACAAATCTATTGAAGGGTCAGTGTCTATTATGCACTACTTAAAGGGTGAGAACAGACCATATACTTCATCTCGTAACTTGGGTGATTTGACCTCTTTAACACTCTGGGCGATGTTCTCGATAGTTCGCTCCTGGTGTCCAGGTTCACGGCCAATGACTTCCCACAAAGCAGCAGGCTGAACAAAATCATCTTTCTTCATGTGACTGGTGTAGGTGGTGACCTCACCAACCCACTTCTCATGCTCAGTGTGTAAGCTCAGCGAGTTTTGACTTACTCCCTTGACTTCGGGATAGAACCTTGTTGGCTGAAGAGAAGAATTCACATAATTTGGATCACCACCATAGTTTCCATCGAACCTCATTTTACCATCTCTCTCAAATGGGCAATAAACAGGTGCCTTGGCTGCGTTGGTTGGAAGTTGCTGGTAGTTGACACCAAGACGGTAACGAGCCGCATCTGGATAAGCAAACAGTCGTGCTTGAAGGACTAAAGGGGATATGAGTAAGATAAGTACTTCCCTTTCTTCCCTTTCCAAACCTCAGTGGGCTACTGACCTGGATCGGCAGAAGCAGCAAACCCAGGCACCATATTAGATGGGGAGAATGCTGCCTGTTCAATATCGGCGAAATAATTACCAGGCTGTAATATAGTCAACAATTAATATATCAATATATCACAAGGAGGAATTGTTCACGAACGTTCTGGTTTAGGGTAAGCTTGCCAATATTTCTCAGCGGGAAGTCTTCATGTGGCCAAACTTTGGTCATATCAAAGATATTCCAACGATAGTTTTCAGCCTCTGAGGGATCCATAACCTGTACAAAGACATCCCAAGAAGGATAATCTTTTCTTTCAATAGCTTCAAACATGTCACGAATCATATAATCAGGGTCTTCACCAGCAATTTTAGTAGCTTCTTCTCGAGTGAAGTTCTTAACTCCTTGTCGGGTTTTAATGTGAATTTTGATATACTTGAAAGAACCATCCTAGTTCCCTATGCTTAGCTAATGTGATAGTCATATGCTGGAAGTCGAACCTTTTGAGTAAACTTATATGTGTGACCACTGTAGGAGTTCAGAAAGCGGACAGATCGGGGAGTCCCACGGTCACTGAAAAGGACCAAGAGCTGGTGGATTCCTTCAGGATTGCCCACATGGAAGCTATACTATGTAAGCAATGAAGAGGTAAATAAAGCTACCGAGACCTACTCCCAAAACTAAGGTCATGTCAGTCTTTCTATGTAACTGGAGCTGGATCACTTTAGCTTACCATATTCGCGTCGGGAAGGTGGGTCCGTGGATGTCTCTTGTGAGAGCGATTCATGGAGGGGAATTTGATAGGGTCGCGAATAAAGAAAACAGGCTGAACCTAGTATAAGTAGGAAGTTTATCGATAGATTTTAGTATTCTCACGGTGTTATTGAAAACCCAGTCAAGGTTGCCTTCATCGGTATAGAGTTTCATGCCCCATCCATGAACATCTCGAGAAGTATCAGCCGAGCCTGCTTCGGGACCAACAGTAGAGACACGGAGTAAAACAGGGGTTTTTTTGCCGACTTCGCTGAGAAAGCTGGCACAGGTCAGGTCAGAGCAATCGGCGGTGGCTTCGAATTCTCCGTATGCGCTGTGAATGGGAATTTCGATTAGGACCTGATCTACGAAGAGACCTCTTAAAAGTCTTACCCGATAGCTTTGGCATGAACAACGCTTTAAATTCCCTAGTGTCAGCCAATACACAAAATCTTTTATCTTGGCGATTTACCGCTCCGGAATCCTCTCCCGCGAGAAATGCGCCAATGTCTCGATGAGCTGGGTATCTTGGAGAAGTCCGAGGCCGCCTCCATCTCTGTTTCGCATAAGCACAGCAGTGCTACTGCTTGCAAAGGGGCATCCTTTTTGTCTTGGTAAGCTATGAAAATGAAGACAATTCAGGCAATTCTTTTATTATTTGCGTCACTCACCTTCGGCGAGGGTATAGTACTTGTCTGCGGACATGATCAGATGTGAGATGGTAAAGCTTCTGTAATAGAAAATTCATAGAACTTGGGCATTAATCGTGGGATCTTGTTTCAAATTTATAGGCATCATAACCATGCGGCTAGTTATCGTTGTTGGCGAGTTAGCTGAGTGGTTACCAGAATTACTCCATGTGTCAGATGTAATACGTCATTTACCTTTTGCATAAAAGAAGGCCCTTTAAAGCGGATAATTTGAAATCAAATTCGAACCATTGGTATTTGTTGAAAACCCAGCGGGAATGGATTTCGTTGGTATTACAGAATCCTGGTCTTGAATCCGAATGTCAGCTCAATGTCCCATGGGGGTGATGAAGCCTCCCCACATCCCCGATATGTCCAAGCAAAGCCCAAGACGGAAAGGCGTCCGTCAGATATTACCGGCATCTCTACCATGTATTGGTATCCATGAGGCTAGTGGAAAGCTGCTTATCCCACGTTAACACCACGCTCGACATAATTTGTCAGCTTTTACCTTGATGTTACAAGCCTGCCCAGGTGCATTACCGGCGAATCAAAGTGACCGGGATCAAAGGAGGCCCAGTAAACAAAATTTACAAATGGTATGTTTTAACTAAGATCATTGGACAAATACTATTTCCCAACTAAGATTTTATCTTTGATTCGCCCTTAAGTCTTGCAACCGATAGAGTCGATTGTCCAGACAGGCTCTTTTCATGGATAATTTTTTTTCCTCTTTTTTTTTCATTAAATGCCACAAGGTAAGATCCCTCACAATATTTTTCGCTCAACGTGTTTTCGCGCATTTGAGTTTCTACATTTGAGGTTTCGTTATTCCTGGCCAGTGCATTCCCAAGAAGATAAGCTTCTGTTTTCTCTAATAACTATGTATTTAACATTTGCAACGACTGCCCGGGCGCTGATTTCGTAGAATTAAAATTTGGAAAAGAGCTGTGATGTCACTGGTTAACTTTTCATACTAAAGATGACAAAATATTCTTGGAAGAAAGATAGCAATATTGGCTTTAATAGTTGCTCCGTTCAAGGAATGCTTTGCGGCGTTATAGTACCGTAGATAGGATTAAATTCTTTTGATTAAGAAGCTAACATTGGATCCTCGTTTTAGATGTCAAAGATGTCGTCGACGTCATGGTACCGAAATCTGCCCAGACTTCCAAATATAAGGAGGTGTGTACACCAACGAAAAGATGGCAAATAGTTCCGGACATCAAACTGTGGTTCAGTCTTTTTTTCACAAACCTCTTGATTTCTAAGAGCAGCAACAACCAAAGGAAAGATTGTAGACTGTCAACTTTTCGCCATGTCTGAAAGTCCGTTCGTACAGTCCAATTCTGATATACACGCAGAATCTAACGATAGCCCAGACTCCCACGAGAATCCAAATCGAAAAAAACCTGTGATCAAAAGGCTTTTAGCTCACTTTTCTCGAAGTCATCCTTCTCGTTCTCCTAAAGACAATGACTCGCATAGTAGTCCGGCCAAACCCAAGACATATGAAGACTACTTAAAAAAAGATGAAGAAAATTTGGAAGAGTACTACAAAGAGGAGCAAGAGAAAAACACGAAGGAGAATAAGAAAAGTAAAGATGAACCAAGCAACCTTGGAGAAGTAATCGACAACCAAATATGACTACTGCTGCCCGGGTTGCAATGAACAGACAATTTGACAAGCGGCTTTATATCATTTAAGTACTCGGTTAGATGCAGTTTTTAAATTTTCAAATGGAAATCAAGAGCCATCCAAGCTCAATGCAGTTCATACTCCAAGTAAAATTCTCAATCTCATCATCGTATCAGCGAGACCAAGTATCTCCCAAAGGCCAAATTACTTGACTTCAGTTGAAATCCATCTGTCCTTCTTAAAAACCCTTGCTGGGAGTAGGAATTAGGTACCTTGTACAAAATACTGCGTTTTACTTTCCAAGTATTCACAATTATCAGTGAAATATGTGCTTGAAGCGTGTACCTGCTAATGGCAGCTAACATGAAAAGATGGCAAAGCACAGATATTCTAGTTTACTATGCAAATCTCAATGACTGTCATGATATGCAGATCAATTGGTCTACCATTGGTAGAGGGGGTGGAATTTTCCATATGCTCATGAATGGTCAAATCAAAGTTCACCCAACTCAATTCAAGCCGGCGGAACCATAAACTTTGTACCAATGGAGATGATGCAATTATAAGATTTTTCTGATTTGGCTCCTCATACTCGTGATGTAATGATACTAAAGCTTGACATCATACTTTCAATACTCAGCTTTGTTCACTCAAAAATATAAATGTACTTCTCTCAAGCCCATATGCGTATCAATTATGATAATTTCGATTATCATCGGCAACTTGAAGTGAACGTTGAAAACATTGAAGCAACATGTCCCAGTCTCAACGTAAGTTGAAATTTTCGTAAACTTTTTGGTATCCTTCACTGAATAAGTACAGAAAATCAATCCAACCAACCACACCATGAAGGCATGATGGAAAGAATTTTTGAACATCACGGTCAACACCACCAACATGGTGATGACAAGAAGCAGGAACTGCCAGCAGAACCGAAACCGAATACGCCGCAGAAGGAAAGTGAGAAAGAAAAATATTTGAACTGGTATCACAAGGAAGAAGAAGAGGAGGAGGAAGGAGATACGTATGGTGGTCTGATGTAGGATCTTCAGGGTATCGAATATATTTTGGCAGTTTTGTATATGACAATACCACAATGGCTCTCCGTGCCTTTGGGCTTCGATTGAATATTTTTCTTATAGCATCGCTTATACTATTTTGTTACAATTGATGAACTGCGAGTATATACACGGGTCCTTTTCATTCTCGAGCCCTAATTTTAGTTGGCAGTGGCATCGGGTGACTTGAATTAAAAGATGGAGGGCATTTTTCTATACTTGAACATATATCTTTTTTCACCGGCTTCGAGTGTACATAAATTGGAAATGGACACATATTTTCAGTCTCTACCTACACTCTTCACTCGTATCGAAATACTACGACGAGACAGGGCCAGATTTAGAGTAAATTTACTAATTTAACTAAGTTCAAAAGGAGGTTTTAAGAAAGAATCTCTGTGTGCAAGTGATGAAATCAATTTACATACACCCTATAATACATGAATATCTAAAATAGCGAGCGTGCTGTACTATGGTAGAGGAAAGAACAAGTTTTTGACTTGTTGATATTTTCTTCAATATAAAACTAATGTAATTGTATCACATAGAAGCTAATGCCGGACCGTTGGCAGACCCACCTGTGGGAGGGCCCGGCCATTCTATTAGAGATGGAAGAAACCCATGCCAGCTTCTTAGTTCAAGTTTTCCAGCTTTAATTACCTATCGATGCAGCCCAGATCGTACAGAAAGGAACAAGAAGTGGCGAAGCCCACACACCTAGCGAGGTCACAGGCCGGATCACCACCGCCAGAGAACTCCTTCACACTGACCTCTCATTAATGTAAATTTACCATTAGACCAAAAGCAAATCTATACTCAGCCTGGTGGATGGGGTATATGATTAACTATTTTCCTGTAAACCATACTCGGATCTACCGTATATGGCAAAGCAAGTCTGTTTTGTAATTGTGGGTAAATAACGAGTCAATTAAGTGAAATTATAATTATGTTACCTTTATACAGGTCTTAAAAGACAACAACGATAGCCTTTGCTTTAAATATATTGTGGTTAAGCCTTGAATCTATGTTTATCATACATATGTCGCCGCAGGCCTATTTCCTACGCAACAACCTTATTACACTGGTCACAGTAACGGTTGTTCAAGTATCAATTTCTAAAATAACACAGAAGATACTTATAACAATAGTTGTATCTTATTCTCTAGTATTAGAAGTATTTCAATAGCTTCGTATCTTCCCTTATTAAAGTTCCTTCTTCTAATATTCTTCCCTTCTCTAATATAGAGTCTACTTTATTTTATAAGATAGAGAATAATTGATACCTGTAATTATATTGTTTATTATAGGATTTAGATATTATCATATTTAGTATAACATTAGCCTTAGTGTAGCCCCTCTTTATAAATATTATAATATATCTAACAGTCTCTATAGTCATATTTTACCATATCAACTCTACTTTAATAGATAGAGTTATAGGCTAAGCTATTGATTTATTTATTAGAAAAGTTTGGTTAAAGAGTTGTATTCCTCTATTTAAAGTATATCTTTTATTTCTTGTTTATAGAGTATACTTCTAGTTAGTTATCCTTCAATATTAATAATAGTCAGTTAACTACCAAATTCTTCCCTTGTATACTTCTTAAGATTATAAAGTAGTATGTTATATATATCTATAATATTTTTTCTTAGCTATTTACTAATTAAGGCCAAACTATGCACTCCACATGTAAAGTTTTCCGCCAAAGATCTTCCATATCGATACCTACATTTTGGAAATGGCCTCTTGTACTATATTTCCTTGTTCCGAACTTATCAACACACCATCTAAGGAAGTTATCAAATAATTGATTCTGATTATCGGTGTAAGACAATAACACCGAATGAAGAATTTTAGCTCCGTAAGGAACTTCTCCATCGGGTTTATACCAGGAGAGTATGAGCTAAATGTAGTAGCTTGGCTTCTTTATCAAAGCACACTTATTCAATCCTCTTAGAGCAGTAAAATAATCCATTATCCATAGATAGAATCAACTTAGGTATAGCATATCTTCTACAGGGATATAACAGTTCCTCAATAAAATTTCCAAAGAATAAAATATCTGTTAAGCCTGAGAATATATAGGATCTTGACGAGGCGGCTTCTTCGACAATGCCTCCGAGCATAAACTTTTTGGCGTTCCGTCGATTTATGTCTGATGTGAGACCACAAGGCATCCAAAAGAGTACCCGAGATATTCCCATGCAGCCCGAAAATCCGCGCTAGGGTCTAATTTTGAGCATAGCCCGGACCCTTCGACTGGAGCTTTCATTACCCTTTTCCACGGTAGGACTGAATACTTGGGACTCTAATATTCT